TCCCTTTGAGAGAACAAAATTTGCAAAAATAAATGATAAATTTGTCTATAGCATTGAAAGAAAATCCTGATTTAACTTCTTGGTAGACTAAAATAAGGGTTTCCAGCATGAGCTACATAATCTATATTTAGTGACCCAAAATTCTCAAGTACAGATTAATTCTTTTTAAAAAATTAGTGTCTGTCATCAGATTTCCACCGACTTTGTCATCTTAATCAACTTTAAAATACTACAAAGAAAAATTTATCATGTCCATCTATAGGCTACTTGTTTTGATTCAATTACCTTTTTTTTCATTTAGGAGCATATGTAATATTTGATCTCAGCACAATATTTTATCCTTTAGCATCCTTTCTTCAATTATTCTGTCCCAACATTACTTCTATTTTAATGTAAATCTTGCATTTCTCAATTCATTTAATATTTGTTACCAGAAATTAAACCATAAGAGTGCCTTTTGGGAAGTGGCAGATATACCCACTGCCATCGGGTAAACCCATGTTTCAGCATTATTCACTATCGGATCTCTGATCTATCAAGAAATACAAGAGTTATATCAAAGAAATGGCAGAACAGAATCATTAAAGAAAGGATGCCAAACAATATAAAAAGACAGTGGCAGATAATAGTAGAGTTATCTTGGGTTGAGTTATCCCACTTCTATTGTCCCTTGGTGAGTTGTCCCTCAGTGAATTTGCTCCACTGAGTTGGCTGTGGTAAGTTGACCAGAACAACTTGGATATGTCTGGTTTACTTTAGCAATTTGGTCATGTTGAGTTGTTGCACACCCTAGTAAAAAACAACAACACCTATTTGTACCAAGGGAATGCTAGGAGGATGGAGTCCTACTGAACTTCAAGGGGCAGGATGTTCCAAAGGCAGGGCTGCCATGGCAAGGCATAATTCCTAGTTCCCATCAGACAATAATACTTTAGGGATGTGACTTGGACTATGTCCACTCTATCTGACCTTGTAGGACAATAAAGATCCTTGAGAAAGGTGGTTCTGCAGATAACATATTCCAATATTATATAGGGTTGATGATCAACACCTTGAATTGCACCCGAAAAGAAAGTAGAAGCCAGCATAGCTCACTTCTGACTTAAAGATTAAGTGAAACTATACTGAGTAGAAACATTTTCAAGTTACACAATTCAAAGAAACAGAGAAGGGCACTATAGGCATAACATTACCATTTGTCTCGAATCTTCTAGGTTTTCTAAAGCAAAATCCATGACACAAATTTAGAGAGATGGACAAGAAAAGTAAGGTAAGAAGAAGATTCTGAAAAAAAATGAAATTTTACTGTCAAGCAAGTTATGTACAGCTGCTTTATCTCATCATTTAATATAGAAAATTGTTATTCAATAAAATAAGACATGGAAGCAGAATAATATAAATACCTTATCAAAGTGCACTTAAACTGCAGCTGAACACTGCTTTGAAATTAACCCACAGATTTCCAGGCAATGAAATCAGTGAACAAGGAGAAATCCTCAGACCTGTTTAAGGACAACCAGATCCACCAATCTTTCTTCTTAAAGTGGGCTGAAGTTGTAGCAAGTGTCAACACAGTAAAATTAAAATGTTTAGCCATCTCACAAAACGTTTTGTACAAAATGCAGTCTAAGGGATATTATTGATGTTAGACAGTCAGCTATTTTTGACAGAACCCATAAGAATGGAGGAATAAGAGATTTTCTGCATTTGAGTTCTAGGGATCTCAAGTTAACATGTGGTTGGGATTGATTGGAACTGGTTGGATTAAAGTACATATTCAAATGCTGAGAGAATAGGTGGGCCTCATTGAGTGAGCAAATGGTTGGGTGTGCAAAGAGGTTAGCCATCACTGGTCTAGTCTCTTTTTAAAACCCTCCAGTGATGAAGCACCATGATTTTTGAAGGCAAACTGTTTTACAGGTTAATTATCCTCACTGTTAGGAACTTTTTCCTTAATCTCAGGTTGCTTTTCTGTTTGATTAGTTTCCATCCATTGTTTCTTTTCCTGAGTTCTGGTGCTTTCCAGAATAATTTCATCCTCTCTTCTTTGTAACAGCCTCTCAAATACTGGAATATTTATAGAGATTT